GTGATGTGGAGTGAGTGAGTGAGTGAAGAAGTTTCCTTTTGCAAAATGGAAGACAGAGAAAAACAAAATTAAAGTTGTTTTCAAACTTCAACTCAATGTCACTAAGGTAGATTCGAATAATTTGTAACAATTTTTCCTTCTGATTTTTATTAATTTTCAATTTAATGGAGTGTTAATTTTGATGATGAATTGTATACAAGTTAGGATTCAAGGAACAAACACTGATACAAAAATCTTATATTTCGGTAGCTGCTCATTTAAAACATCGATGAAGTTGAATATTTGAAACATTGATGAAATTGTCTCATTGAAGCTAAAACATTGATGAAACTTTTGATGGGAATTCTTGTGCCTTCATTTGACATAATGTTATTGGGGGCTGCAGAAACATGATCTGGTAAAACACTTGCATTTAGTTTATTTTAGAGGATAAAAAGACTTCAAATTTATTTCAGAGGATAATATAACCAATTGACCAGACTAGCCCAATGACAGAGCGTGTGCTCTATTGGGTAGGGGACTTGTGTTCGAACCCTACTTTGGAAAAAAAATTTAGATTAAAACGTAAAAAAAAGTATAAAAATATATAATATATAAAAAATTAATATTACATGGCATTATTTTAATCTAATCAACCAACCTTTAAATGTCAACTAAGAAGATTTTGTTGCACAGTCATTGTAATAGTGACAATATGGTGTTTGGAGATGAAATCTGGATTTTGTAGGGGGATCACAAAAAAAAAATCTTATAAGGGGTGAAATCAAAACTCGCTATAATTTGATGAGGCAACATATATTTAACCCTTTAAAATATGAAGTGTGATTTAAAAAAAATAGAAAAACTAGAAAATCAGTTTGATTTGATTCTACAATAAACACGAGGTCTTTCGATGAGATATTTTTTTATTCTGCCTCAAATGTGAGGCGTTTAAGACGTTAGTTATGGTGTTTTTTATCTAATTTATTTTATAATAAGTGGTGTCTATCATGGGAGAAAGAGATTAAGTTTATAAGTGAGTATCATATATTATAAATAAAATATCGATAATTTTCTTGAAGATAATGATTTTGGATTGTGAAAAGTGAATATGCCAACAATTTTATTTCAACAAAGGTCTGCAGAAATATTAAAAGGTGAGACATTGATGCCTCAAGCCTAACAGAACTAGAGAAACCTGAGATAGTAAATGAACCCAAAAGTTCCATGATCTTGTATCTCATGGATAAAGTCTTAAGGAATTTCGCAAGAGAGAAGACCACAACAAATATGTGATTCATATTGTATTTATATATGATCAAGTACTCGACTCATTGATTATGTTTGAAATAAAAACTTTATTAATTTAGATGATGGAGAATAAATCCATTATGAAACAATTGTTCGAAATTTCACAAAGTTATTGATGACTTGTAAAATATTGAGGTGAAACTTGACAATGAAGACACATATCTACACATCTTGAGTTTCCTACTTAGATCAATTGAGAATTTCAATGATTCACTTATATATGGAAATGAAGTCATTATCATCTTCGAGGAGGTCTAACTGGCGATAATAACCAGAGTTAACAAAGATGAAAGATTTGAAAGTTGAAGAAAATGGTGAAAACTTGAATGTATCAAGAGGGAGAAGTGAAAGTAGGGGAAACCATAAGTTAAAGAAATATAGATCTAAGGCCAAGTTCAAGGTATTTGACAATTCAAAGCACAAATGTTGCATTTATCATAAAATCTATTACTTTAAGAAAGATTGTCCCGAGAGGGGAGCAAAGGAGGGTTTGTTCAAATAGTAGTTTCTTAAGATGGGGATGGTTATGAGATTGTTGGTGCACTAATGGTGATAAGCTTGGAGACATACAAGATTTGGATCATGGATTTCAGGTGCTCTTATCACATGTTTCTAATGAAAATAGATTTGGAAATTTTGAGCTAAAAGAAGTTCCAGTCGTTCAAATCAATATAAATAACGATTGCAAGGTTCCTGGTATTGAAACAATTAGACTCAAGATGTTTGATAACCATGAGTTAATTTTGCACAACATGAAGTGTGTTTCTGAACTTAAGAGACATTTGTTATCTTTGAGTATGTTTGAGAATTTATATTGTTTCTCAATAATTGAACATGGCATGTAAAGAATTTTACAAGGTGTATTAATAATTTATAAAACGTGTAAGATGTGAAATTTGTATATTTTAGATAGTTCTAATGTTATTGGTCAGGCATCATTATCCATTCAAAACTTTCATGATAAAATCAAATTTTACATTTTATGTTAGGGCATGTTAGTTAATAAGGTTTGATCAAACTCACTAAGAAAAATAATTTAGGTAGCGAGAAACTTCACAAACAAGATTTTTATGATAATTGCATATTATAACTTGGCAAACAACATATGGTGAAGTTTATGAGGGGTATACATAATACTACTAGACCATTTAAATATGTTTATTTGAATTTTTTGGGCCTGACAAGGGTGGCTATACACAGGGGTGATATATTCTCTCACTATGATTAATGGTTTTTCTAGAAAAATTCATATTTACATTTTGAAAGATAAATGTGAGACTTTTAAAAAGTTTAAGGAATAACATACTCTTATGAGAAATAAACTAGAAACTAAACTGAAAATTTTAAGAATTAAGAATGACATGGAGTTTATTTAAGATAAATTTAATGATTTTTGCAGAAAACATGCATAAAGAAACATAAAGCTGCAGCTAGCACACTGCAACAAAATGTCCAAGGTGAACACATGAATAAGGCTATTTTAGAACGAGTGAAGTGCATGTTATTACAAGATGAGTTACATAAGAGTTTCTGGTGTAAAGTTGTTTCTACTACAACCTACGTAATCAATATCTACATATCCACAACATAAGCTTTAAGATATATATATATATATATATATATATATATATATATATATATATATATATATATATATATATATATATATATATATATATATATATATATATATATATATATATATATAGAGAGAGAGAGAGAGAGAGAGAGAGGTTTGGAACGAGAAATCGACAAACTACTCTAATTTAAAGGGTTTCAAAACTTTGAATTTTTTGCATATTAAGAAAGACAAGCTTCATACTAGGGCTACAAAGTTTGTCTTATTTGACTATTCTGAAGGTGTGATAGGATACAAGCTATGGAAGATTGAACCTAGAAGTTCAAGGTTTATCTTAATCAGGAATACTATTTCTTATGAGACTTGTATATGGATGAAGTGAAAAGAATTTGAAGTAGAAGACTTAGAAACTAATGTGTAGAAGACTCAATTTGAAGTAGATGTTCCTACTTGTGAGACAAAGGAGGAAGTTGAGGTTCTAACTTCTAGATATATATAGAGGAGACCTACAGTGGCTCCAAACTATTATTTGGATCATAATAGGATAAGGAGGGATACCATACCACCCAAAGATGCAGTTATGCTAATATTGTTGATTATGCTTTGAGTGTTGCTGAAGGGTTGCAAGATTCAAAATTAAATAACTTTAAGGAAGCATTCAAAATCAAATATAGTAAAAAAATTGATTGAAGGTTATGAATGATGATATGAATTAATTGATGAAGAACCATAGTTGGGAGCCTATGAGACAACCTCTGAGAGAAAGGGTTGTCAGATGCAAGATGATCTTCAATAAGAAGAAATGTATTCTAGGGATTGGAGAACAAATGTTTAAGGAAAGCAAAGGGGTTTACTCAAGTGGATGGAACTTATTACACTGATATCTATTCACATGTGGTAAGACGTTATTTTATAAGGGTACTTACAAAATTTGTAAATCCATATGATCTTGAGTTGAAATAAATGGATGTCAAAACAATTTTCTTATATGGAGACTTTGAAGTGAAAATCTACAGGAAGAAACCTAAAGGTTGTGTAGAGGACAAATCGATGATGTGTTTATTGAAGTAGTTGTATGAGTTAAAGAAAAACCCTAGTAAATGATATTGTTAGTTTGATGAATTTCTTCTTAATTTTGTGAGAAGTGATTATGAGAGTTTTGTATACATATAGGAATGAGAACGTCATTCTCTACCTCCTTCTATAAATTTATAACGGCTTGATGGAAAACTCTAGCAAGGAATAGATCAACATGCTTATGGACTATGAATGGAAAACTTGAGATGAAAGATCTCGATGAAGCTAAGAGAATCCTTAGGATAGATATCTTAAGAAACTATAAAATGAATGAATTGCTCTTGTCTTAATCGAGTTACTTAAAGACACTGGTGGGTCGGTTTAGAATGCAAGATGCTAAAATAGTCAACATTCATTTGGATCATCGTATTAAGCTTTTGATCATGCAGTATCCTTAAAATGAATAAGAGAAGAAGATGATTAAGAGTACTTCATATACAAGCGGGGTTAAAAGTGTCGTGTTTGGTATGATTTATTGGAGATTTGACTTAACATATGCAATTCAAATAATAAGCCGATTTATGGAAAATCCAAGTTGCATTCATTGAGAAGTTTTGAAATAAGTGGTGAAATATTTGAATGATTCGTTGAAGGGTGATTTGAAGTAACTAAATGCAACTCAAATAAAAGATACATTGTAATACTCAAAGACCAATCACTTAATTAATCATCAAATATATCATAAGAAGACATAACATTTCAACAATTGTTTGTACTTCATAAGAGACATAACTAAGTAGAAAGAAATTTTGGTTAAAAAGTTATTTTGAAAAATATTGTGGTTAGTATATTCACTAAGTCATCTTCTAGACCATAGTTCAAACATTACTTGAACTGGTTAAATTTTTTGGAACACATATTACAGTAATATTTAATAAAATTTTAACTTTTTTAAAAATCAAATCAACGTGCTATCAGTTTCATTTACTTTTGAGCTAAAAGTCAAACAAAGTAGTTGGCTTTGTGCTTAAAACATGATATAAAACACTAGACACAAAAAGTCTCATCACAAATCAATAATTCCCACATCCCTCTCCAATCCAACAAACAAACCATGAACCCAGAACTCCCAATGCCTCCATCAACCAACCCACCCCAAGCACAAAAATTCTCTGTTCAAGTAGACTCAGAAAACAAATCCACAGAATTCAAAATCCACTCAATAGCCAAACCTCACATGCTAGCGTTCCATCTCTCATGGTTCTCATTCTTTGCATGTTTCGTTTCAAGCTTTGCAGCAGCACCACTTGTTCCTATAATCCGTGACAACCTTAACCTCACAGCAACAGACATAGGAAATGCCGGTGTCGCTTCCGTTTCCGGTGCCGTTTTCGCAAGAATCGCAATGGGAACAGCTTGTGACTTAGTCGGCCCTCGTCTTGCTTCCGCTTCTCTCATTCTCTTAACTTCACCAGCTGTTTACTTCACCTCCATCATTGATTCTCCTACAAGTTTCCTTCTAGTCCGTTTCTTCACCGGCTTTTCTCTAGCCACGTTTGTTTCTACTCAGTTTTGGATGAGTTCCATGTTTTCCACCACCGTTGTTGGTAGAGCAAACGGTTTCTCAGGTGGTTGGGGTAACCTGGGTGGAGGCGCAACACAACTCATCATGCCACTCGTGTTTTCTCTCATTCAAAACATTGGTTCAACAAAATTCACTGCATGGAGAATAGCTTTTTTCATACCTGCTTTTTTACAAACCCTGACAGCGTTTTCGATATTAATATTCGGACAAGATTTACCCGACGGAAACTTTCACGGCTTGAAAAAATCAGGTGAGAAAGCAAAAGATGAATTCTCAAAAGTACTTTACCATGGTGTATTGAATTATAGAGGTTGGGTTTTAGCTTTGACTTATGGATATTGTTTTGGAGTGGAGTTGACTGTGGACAATATCATAGCTGAATATTTTTATGATAAATTTAACCTTAATCTTGGAACAGCTGGGATAATTGCTGCGAGTTTTGGTTTGGCTAATGTTTTTTCTAGGCCTGGAGGAGGGCTTATTTCTGATTTGATGGCAAAGAGATTTGGAATGAGGGGGAGGTTATGGTGTTTGTGGATTTGTCAAACGTTGGCTGGTGTTTTTTGTGTGCTTTTGGGACTTGTTGGATCTTTGAATCTTTCTGTTCTTGTTATGATTATTTTCTCTGTTTTTGTTCAAGCTGCTTGTGGAATGACGTTTGGGATTGTTCCTTTTGTCTCAAGAAGGTATTTTTATTAAATTTTTACATATATCAAATAAAAAACAGAGAGATGAGAGTCATCAAGGGCCACAATATGAAACCAAATTCTATAATATTTAAATAGTCTTTTTTTTTTTTGGGTGGTAATAATATTTAAATATTCTTATAATGCGGTTTTCAATATTTATTGATCATATAATACATGTCAAAAGCTACCATTCAATCAATATTAATAGTTTAATCAATAGAAGTTTACCACTTCCTTAAATCTATTTTTCATAAAGTGCAAATTAAAAGTAGTTAGATTGCTCCATATACATCTCTAGCATTTCTTTTTAAATTTTATGAATTTTAATTTATTTATTTTTACTTTATTTGAATAGTGTTATTTGGATTAATATATAAACTCAAAATATAATTTTTAAAATGATTATTAATTGAGTCAAGTCTGTTTATTTGTTAAAACTTTTTTTAAAATGTGTTTATTTTATTTGTTCTAGTGAGATATATATGATTTAAAAATAATTAATTGTGTATTTTAAAAATAACATATTTTTATCATTTTCAAAAATATATCTTCTTCATTCAACTAACTGCTTTAATAAAGACTTAAATACTTGTAAAAAGTATCTTGAAGTTCTTTTTTGGGATATCTTTGAAGAATTATTTGACAACATTAAGATATTTGAGATATAAAAATAACACATTAAAGAATACAACTATTTCTCAAGATTTTCTTTAAAAATAATACAACTATTTCTTTGCTCCCATTAAAGAATTATTGAAATATCACTTTCTAACATTAATACATGATTTTCAGGTCATTAGGAGTAATATCAGGAATGACAGGAGGAGGAGGAAACGTAGGTGCAGTTATAACCCAACTAGTATTCTTTAAAGGATCAAGGTTTTCAAAAGAAAGAGGAATAACACTAATGGGTGCAATGATCATAGTATGCACTCTACCATTATTCTTAATCTATTTTCCACAATGGGGTGGCATGTTATTTGGTCCATCTTCATCTAAAAATGTCTCTGAAGAAGATTATTATTTATCTGAATGGAACTCAAAGGAAAGAGAAAAAGGCTCTCATCATGGAAGCTTGAAATTTGCTGATAATAGTAGAAGTGAAAGAGGTAGAAAATTTAATATTTCAACTAGGCCTTCTGAAGATGTCACGCCACCACAACAACATGTTTGATTTTTCTTTGTATGTGTTTACAGCACAATAAAGTTTCAATGTCACTTCAGCAAATCTTATCTCAATTAACAGAAATTAAGAAATCGATATTATTAGATCGAACATCATCATTAAAATTTGAATATTGATATTCTCGATTGTGTATATGAGTTTCTAGTGGTTATAACTATTTAGTTTACGAAAAAAAATTCAATGTGAGTGTCCCTTACTTATGTGTTCACATGGTTTGAGAGAGTTTGCTATTTCTTCACTCTTAAGTAACATGCTTTCACACTTTCTCATTGTAATATATTGTTGAATAGTTGAATTACTTGATCAAATAGTAGTAAAGTTGTTGTTGATATAGCAAAACTTAAAATTGTATCAACATGAACATGTACATTTCTCAGTTTATATTGAAGTGGCAGGATTTCATACATTTAGTTTTTATTATTTAAATACAATTTTAATCTATAATTATGACAACTTTTTATTCTTGATAGTGTTTATTTGTTTATTTTTATTTAGATATTATAATTTTAAATTTATTACTTTTAATATCTAACATTAGATATGCTGGAATTGAATCCAGACAGAAATCTTACATAAATTAAAAAAGAACGTTTTAATTGCAGCAACTAAAATTATATTACTATTTTTTTGTTAAATGCCCTACACAATAATCATGCATCCACTACTTATATTTTTACTGTTTTCTTTCAACATTCTAAGTATTATTTATATTACATTAAAATTTCACCTAATTGATATTAGGGGTGTGAGAATTATCAATTTTCCACAACAATTTTTATAGTAAACAAATTTAAGTATATATATATATTTAAGTATATATATATATATATATATATATATATATATATATATATATATATATATATATATATATATATATATATATATATATATATATATATATATATATATATATATATATATATATATATATATATATATATATATATATATATATATATATATATATATATATATATATATATAGAATTCTAATTTTCAAATATATCCTAAGACAATTGAAATTTATAAAAAAAGACGCACAAAATCACTCAAATACGTGGATTTAACATATTTTTTTTTCAAAAATCTCTCAATTTCTACTCCTTTTTATTCAAACTAAGTCATTTAATCAATTCATCACATTATTTCTCACTTTTGAATAATATTCAATAAGTTTCTCATCCTCGGTTTGCTTTTTTTAGGTTTTGATGCATACAATTTCTTCATATATTTTAATTAGGGCTGCGCCTGACTTTTTAGAGTCACATGGAAAATAATAAAAATAAATTCCATAAAAAAATTGAGTAATTTAATCAAAAGATTTAATTATAAATAATATTAATATTACTAATGCTTTAATATATTATTATAAAATAAAATCTGATAACATATATTTTTATAAAATCATCAATAATTTAATTTAAGTTTGTCTACTGTTTTCTCCTTTTCTCAGTATTAGGAGAGTGGAAGTTGTTAGTAATAATTACATAGAGATAAAAAAAATTTGTTGTTGTCAGGGCTATATAAGCACAAGTTAACATCTGATTATTTTTATATTTTTTAATAGGTTTTGATTGTGTGATTAAGTTATTTCTCACATAATTGTTAAGAAATATTTTGGCGACTGCACGTAGGCTTTAAGTGCTAGCTCCAATTTAACTGGATACTATGTGTAATTGATATTTTTTTATAAACAATAAATTATATAGAAAACTAAATGATAAATATAAATATTTAATTTAAATTACTTTTACAGATGATGATAATAAATATAAATAAATATAAATATTTATGAGAGGATGATTATTTGAATGATGATGCAATTGATTAGTTATGGTCTAACTTATAAATAACGTTGTTGTGCATCATACATTGATAGTATTTTTGGACGATGGTCCACTTGTCACGAGCCTAAATTCTATTGTGCGGATTGAGTGCGGATTGAGTGCGTTTGTGCTGTGCTCCAATTTCAAGAGGGAATCAATCCTATGATAGAGATCAAGGAGGAGAATGAATTAGGTGTTCTTAAAATTTGGTACCATGTGCATTGAGTCAGTGTTGTTGCATTAACATCCTATGTGATATTACATGAATTTTGTTCATGAGTTCTGATGTGATGATGATTGTGAACTATGTGATTATATGATGATTTGATGATGAAAGATGTTTAAATACTATTATGATGTATCGGTGAGTATGAAGTGTTAATGAATGACATGTGTTGATTATATGATGATGTTGTTTACAACTACTAATCTTTTCCTTATATCTTTTATAATAAATTATGATTACTCACCTTTTCTATTTGAATGTTGCCTCCACGTGGGTAACGTGCAGATGCTCATGAGTATCTTATAGGAGCATCGAAGATAGCTTTGGAGTATTTTGTTTGACTTAGTTATATTAGTGGTGTCTTGCTCTGACATGTAACATCAGGTTGGGAATGCTATGTTTTACGAATGTTATGTTACTTTTGTTAACATGTTTTATGAGATTTTTGGAAGTTAAAGTGGTTGTAAGTGCAATTGTTGTTGAGATCACAATATTTGGTTTATGGTAGACGAATGAAGTTTATTTATGACGATGAATTTGCTGTGATGTTTTTAAATGATGTGTTGAATTATGTAATTATAATAAAACATAAAAGATATATCATAGTACACAAGTAGGATGTCACATCTTCTCAAAAACTCACAAAGTTTCAAGTCACTTTATTACTTCATTTCATATAAAAATAAACTCAATAGTGGAATAATTAAATTGATTCACTTCCATGGTACTAAGGTCTCAACAACAATAAAAACTCCACAAATTTCATGGTCCAACATAAGTATAAAGATAAGATACGTAACCAATAAAACAATGCAAAAACAATACAAATTCCAAAATCCCGTATTACGTATCAGGCTGACTTCTAAGACTCGATCAGGTAACACTCACTCCAAGCACTACCCGAGTACCTGATTATCTATACTCCAAGAGGAGTACAAACACAACAACAGAAAAAGGGTGAGAATTACATTCAATAAATATATGGTGAATATCACATGCTAAGGAGTAGTAATTCACACCATTCATATAATTCAGAAGTCATTCACTAGTTTACATCACCAAACATCAACTATATAACACATCATCAAATCATCAAAAATGCAATGTAACGAGGCCAACACCGACTCAATGCATGTGATACCAACATGGCATAAACCCCTAACATATTACCAAATAGGGAAGCAACAGGGAATGGGCCCTCAACATAATGTCATTACAGACCAACAACTGGACATAAGCCCTCAACAATGTATAATACGGTGGGAGAACTGACTTGGGTGTTTTGCGTTTTATCGTAATTTTTACGGATAGCAAGAGTCGCCACCTACTTTTCTTTTATCCAATAAAAGAAAGGGTGAAAAGAACAGGAAAGACCTTTTGAGAATTTTCTTGAGTTCGGGCGGTAGGTTATGAAAAGGGAAGGTGTTAGCACCCTTTTCATTCGTAGTTATCTACGGGACTCTTAGTTTCTAGCTCACTTTTAAATGCTTTGTGAATGTGTTTGTTTGAAAGTATTTTTGAAAAGTTCCTTTGTTTAGGCAAACTTTGTAATGATTCTCGTATCTATAAGAATGTATACAAAGTGTTGACTTTTGAAAATATTTCATGAAAGTGTTGATGTTTTTGAAAGATATTTGTTTTTTTTTGAAATGTTTGTGAGCAAGCTACTACGAGCTATCTACCTCCTCAAAAGAAAGTCTTTGTTCTTTTCCTCCTCCTTTAGATAATGTTATCTTACCATTAGTTAGTAAGAAATCATATTATTGGATGTGAAGGAATATGTGTGGATCATCGTACAGTCATAGAAGGCAACATTGTAGGATACCTTAGCAATTTGTTGTGAGGGTCTAAGATTGTTTATCGAAGGCATCAACGAAGAGTCATCGAGGGACTATGATCTTGTAATCGAGGGTCTTTACTAAAGTATTCCACGTTCGAGGTACATGACTGTTTTTTATCCGAGGAAACAAGTGTGAATTAACCCTAGAGGTGCATGTGTGAAAAGTGTATTGTTTTCATTTATTTGTCTTGAGTTAGGGTTGTCTATTGTATGATTTTAAGTCTTGTCATACAAACCCTAATTACTAGCAATAATATGGAAAGCGGTAAATTGCGGAAATTAAGTATCCTACACTATTACAATACTTTATGGGGTGGGGATACAAATTATAGATGGGGATAACAAGTGAAATAAACTCTAATTACTATTTTAAGGCTTTGACAATTACATAAATTATAGTGCGAAATAATAAAATGTACAAAGGAATATAAAGAGAAGAGAATTTGTTTTTATGACTTTTTATGAGAAGGGTCCTAATTAGACTAATTAATTTACAAGGGAAATTAAATAGTTGTTTAATAAAAAATTAACAGTCTAAGTCAAAGAAAAATTAAATAAAACCTAAGTCTAATTTAATTTTAACCCTAACAAAAGGAAAGGATTAGTTAGTTAAGAAAATAATATTTTGGAGTTTTCGTATTTATAAAATAAATAAAGTGGAAATAAAATAAAGAAAATTTTAATTTAATTATTTAAGAAAATGGTTTTTTGTATTTTAATTAAATAAAATATAAATAAGAAAAATATATGATAAAAATATAAAATGAGGTTAAAAAGTAAACAAGGGTGTAGAAAATTATTTTTGGCCAGACCCAACATGTTTTTTTTGTTAAATTAGAAAAAAGAAAAATAAAAAAGAAAGATGGGCCAGCGTTGTGATTAGCAGAGAGGAAGGTGATAAGGAGAAGTAAAAAAATAGAGGCCGAGGTCACAAAGGTCATAAGCGCGCGCTTTAACCACTGAGGTGGTGATACATCCGTTGATTTATGCACAACCAACACATTATATTTTAAACGCGCTCCTGACCGTATTATCTTCTTCTTCCTCGCGCCATAATCAGAGCAACATGTTTGAATTTGTAACTTACCTCATT